ATTATAAAGACATGTTCGAACTGTAAGACAGATTGAACTACAGTCCATAACTTATTAATGATATCTATTGCTTTAAGAGTAGTAGCCGCTATTTTAACGTATTTTGAATTTGATTTCTTTAGACCATCAGCAAATAGATGATAACTATTTCTTAAAGAAGATACAACTCGTGTTCGAATATTATCAAATTGTTGAGGTAATAAAATATCTTTTCCTAATGTTTTTTTCTAATATGTTTTTTCAATTCTTCAAAAGATTTTTCGAACTCTTCTTCATTTTTACTTTGAAGATAAAGAGTTGCTACTTTATTATTTATTAAACCGATTATTCCTTTTAATAAATTTTCTTCTATTTTACTAACAATCTTTTGTATAACATTTTCTTGAATCTGTTCCATAATTTTATCCGTCAAAAACTTTCCAATTCCAGCAGTTAACATAGAGAGACCGAAGCTAATTGCTTTTTGTATTGCCCATTCTTTCCAACTAAAAGTACCTAATAATTCTGCCATATTAGAAACACCTTCACTAATTAAAGCATTGCCTATCTGAGTCAAACCAAAGGCTACTAAAACAGCTTCGGCAATGACTTGAACAAGTCCTATCATTGCAACGGCAAAAGCATTCCAATCCCACCAAGATTTATCTTCTTCAATAATCAAAAATTTACTAAGATTAAAACCTTCAAAAAAATCTTAATTCACTTGGAACGTTTTCTTGATCTTGAAGATCTATAAAATCTTTTAAATTAGCTTTTAAATCTATTTTAAATGAACGAATATCTCCTTGTAAAGACAAAATTTTCGACAAAATTAATTCTTTATCATTTTCAACTTGAGTATTTTTTAAAATTTTATTTAAAATTCTTTTAATATTTCTTTTAATATCTCCATATTTATATTTGGCAAGTCCACCAGACTTTAAAATATTTTTTTCTTTTTGATAAATTCGAATATTATTTCCTTCTTCTTCTTTAATAGTAAATGGTAAATCTGTTTGATAAAAATATTGATTTTGTTGATTAATATTATCTTTTAAT